TTTGGGGTTTAGGGGTTTACGGTTCGGGTTCTGAAAAGGTTCGATGCTTTTAGGGTCTAGGGTTCAGGGTTAAAGGTTCCATGACCGATCTTACAATGGGTTGCAGAAGGTTGTGTGAGGGGTGCTTCTAGGGCTTCGGGGTTTAGGGCGTAGGCAAACTTCAGGACCCTAAACCCTAAACCCTAAACCCTACACCCTAAACCCTAAACCCTAAAACCTTAAACCCTAAACCGATGTTGGGATGCAGCGGTCAGAACTCAGGGCAGAAGATGGTGTCCGCGCTTGATGATTCAGTGTTTACATGGGATGTCGCTGGCTTGATGGCTCTCTCTTGGGTGTATATAATAGGGCTGCCATTAAGGGTCTTATAGATCTTTGTTAGGAATATTATTCAACTGTTACTGAGTCGGGGCAGTATCCAAGCTCTCTCCCATATAGACTGAAAGAGTTGGCGGTTCAAAGGTGTTGGAAGAGCTTGAAAGCACGGATATTGGGGCCTTACCCTAAACCTTAAACCCGACGCATTGGCATTGAGGTTTTCAGGGGGTTTAGGGTTCAGGATACAGGGTTCGGGGTTTAGGGTTTAGGGTTTAGGGTTCAGGTTCGGGGTTTAGGGTTTAGGGCTTAGGGTTTAGGGTTTCAAACGGTTTCTGAGGGTTTAGGGTTTCAAACTTGGGGCATATGTTTGACATCTAATATACGGTCCGTTTAGAAAATGGTTTGGGCGGTATGCTATACTATCCTCATAATAAGGAATCCCCAAAATAGTGTTGGAAATTACTAGTAGCATACCCTAAACCCTAAACCCGAAACCTTAAGCTCTAAACCTAAGCCTGAGCGCTGAACCCCCTTCCCAAAGATCTGGACTCCCAGAAGATTGGGACATCCTTAGGGTTTAGGGTTTAGGGTTTAGGGTTTAGGCTTTAGGGTTTAGGGTTTAGGGTAAACCCCAAAGCTCAAAACCCTTACAACGCTAAAACTCAGACTTAGCCGAACCTGTCAGACAAGCGGCACAGTCGAGATGGAAGTCCTGGCAAAGCCGCAGCCGAACCCTAAACCCTAAATACCCTGAACCCCAAACCCCAAACCCTAGACCAGAAACCCGAAACCCTAAACCCGAAACCGTGAACCCTGAACCCTAAACCCCAAACCCTACACCAGAAACCCGAAACCCTGAACCCTGAACCTGGCCCTGGATCGGCAAAGAGGCACGACTCTGGTGTCTGGGACTACTGTGCAAGGGTCTTCGTAAGGGATTCTGGGAGCTTTTGACCACAGCTCTGTGAGGTTAGATTGAGGAAGTCTGGGAAATGGTAGGGTTACAGGCTCAGGCTCGCATAGCTGATTTTGCTAGATTAAACCCTAAACACTAAACCCTAAACCCTAAACCATAAACCCTAAACCCTAAACCCTAAAGAAAGATCCGTTTCTTTCGCACATTTCGCATGGGCTGTGCTTCACGATTCGGCCGTAACGCTTTTTGCGTGCAGTTTTTGGGCTTCTCTGTTTTAAAGCGTTAAGGCGATAAGGGCTTAGGGTCTCAGTTTTAGGCTTTGGGGTATAGGGTTTAGGGTTTAGGGTTTGGGGTTTGGGGTTTAGGGTCTAGGGCTTCTGGGGTTCAGGGTTTCTGTTACGCCTGAGACAGGGGAGGTTCCGCGGGGTAGTTGTGGGAGGGCATTGGCACTGCTGCGTACTTCTACTGCGACGACTGCTGCTGACTACCGTAAGAAGCCTTTAACCCCTAAAGCGCCGAAGATCAAGAGACTGCCGAACATCCCTTACGACAACCCGTTTACGGCCCTGAAAAGAACCCTTCTAGACATTGTAAGAACCCGGCTAGGGCCTGTAGAACCCTTATAGAACCCTTGCGAACCCTTTGCAAGAACGCTGATAGAACCCTCATGTACCCAAGAACCGTACATGGAACCCTGAGGCCATAGGTAGCCCGGTTTAGGATTCAGGGTTTAGGGTTTAGGGTTTAGGGTTTAGGGTTTAGGGTTTAGGGCCCCAGAGAGGTCGTTAGCAGGATTTCCACGTTGTTCGCGGCGAGATCTGCAAGCAGCGCTGCCTGTGCAGGGTTTAGGGTTTAGGGTTCAGGGACGCTAAACCCTACAAAATCCCTAAACCCTACAAATTCCTAAACCCCTGGGGGAGCCCTTCAAGGAACCCTTACAGCAGCCCCCTAAAGGACCCTTACGGGTTTTGCGGTTTGGGGTTTATTTGAGGGTTGAGGGTTTGAGGTTTTGGAGCGAAACTAGTCGAAGGGCGCTGAGACCAAAAGCTTCGTGCTCTTCTTTTGTGCTCCGATAGGGTTTTCTCGAATTATATAAGGTGCTAAAAAGAAGCTGATGGAGTTTTTCAAGAGTTTTTAAGGAGTTTATAGGATTGACCAGGGTGCTATCGGGTTTTGCAGGGGTCTTATAGGGTCTTGGTGCTTGGTAATGGCTTGTAGGGAGTCGTATTTTTGTGTAACCCCGAAGCCACTGGGAACAAGCCCAAAACCCTAATCAAGCCCCAAACCCTAAACCCCAAAACCGTTAACCCCAAGCTCTAAACACTAAACCCGAAACCCCAAAACCCCAAACCGCAATCCCTAAACCCTAAACCCCAAAAACCTAAACCGTAAACCCTAAACTCTTCTACGCCCTAAGCCCAGTGAGGGGTCGGGGTTTCAGGGTCCCAAACTCTCGGGTTTCGGTCCAGAAGTCTCTGCTCAATTTCCTAGAGGAACTTTAAGCTTTAAGGTTTAGGGTTTAGATTTTAAGGTTTTGGGTTTAGATTTTAAGGTTTCGGGTTTAGATTTTAATGTTTGGGGTTTAGATTTTAAGGTTTAGGGTTTAGATTTTGAGGTTTAGGGTTTAGGGTTTAGATTTTTAGGTTTGGGGTTTAAGGCAAGGGCAGTTAAGGGGTGGTACTGCCAGTACTGCCCCAACGCAGGGAGAAGGCCACTTACTCGACTGCCAACGTTCAGGGTTCTAGGTGTGCGACGCAACAGGGCCGCAGGGTCAAGGAACTTTCATTTCAAGGTGAGCACAGCAACATGCTGATGGATGGCCACCGTCGTATTCCCTTGGCATACTTCAACCTGAACCACACGGTTTGAAGCTCAAACTCCCCATCGGAAGGTACGGAAACACCCGAAATCCTAACCCTTCAACACAAAGGGACTGATACGGAGCTTCGAGCTTCGTGCTGCGAGAATTTTGGGCTTGGGGGAGAAGGGTTTAGGCGTAGGGGGCTTCAGCGTGACCTGCAGCTCGCGATCCAGCATCTGTAGCATCTTGTCCTCAGGTAGAATAAGAGCCTGAAAAACTAGAATAAAATTTTGGGGAACGTTCTAATCCAGTTTTAACAAGGAATTCCGGGAAAAGTATTGACAATTTTTCCGGCCTCAATGGTGTTGGAAGGATGTTGGTCTGGGGGCTTTGGGTCAAGAGCCCAAAATCAAGTGGCAGCAACGATGTTTGAATAGTATAGCAGCATAGTCCAGTATAGTATAGTACAGTATAGTCTAGTACAGTACAGTACGGCCTGGTATCGTAAAGTATGGTATGGCTGGCATGGCATAGTATGGTATGGTATGGTAATAGTATGGTACAGCATGGTATGCATGGTATAGTATGTTATAGCAAAGCACAGCATAATATCCCATACTCTTGCATAGTACAGCGTAGTATTGCATGCATCTGGCGCAGCCAAGCATAGCGTAGCATTGCATAGCACGGTCTAGTCTAGCTTGATTAATTTACGTTTCATCTTAGGGCCTGGGGAGCGTTACCGCCTGAACAATTCAGTTTGCTGAGACCTTGGTATACGTTAGCATACCTTGTACAGTCTTGTTTGGGCAGTATAGTGCAGAGCGACTAGAACGGACATTATGGCTTGTTACTCAAACATGTGTATGTCAGGGACATGGGGGCTTCATAATACAATGTCGGGGCCTTATTAATTAGAATAAGGTTTTGGGGCTATATTATACTATGATTATAATAAGGAACCCCCAAAGTAGCATTAGTAAGTTTAGGCCCCTATATGAACCTGGTTCTGCACTGGGCTTATGACTGTGGGTTTTCGGTTTTGGGGATGCTTGTCTAGGCCTTGATCATAGTGTCTCCCCCATTTCCAGCATATCAACATGGCCTCAGAATTCCGAAGTTCTCCTTAAAAAAGCAGGTAAGCAAAGCACAACCGACAAAAAGATATCGAAAGCGTTTCTACCGAACTGTGGATAGCTTTCTTCCAAGAGCGCACGTGGGCTAGGACGTAAGCTGTAAGGGCTTGGAATCCTGTAAAGCCCTCATACAGTTGATGATATAAACCCTGCATTACCCATAATAAGGAATATACCATAATTCCCATAGTTTAGGGTCCTTAAGGTAATGCAGGATTTATATCATCAACAGTATGAATCCCAAATGCAAGCTCGGCGTGTATGGTCTCAGCCAAGACACCGCAAATTCTACCACCACGACCCGCGCCCCCAGTTTGGCGAACATGTTGGCATACTCCAAGCCTCTCCAGCAGGGGACTTACGGTAAGGATCAACCGAAAATACAACAAAACACATACGTAATCCCCGGTCTCAAGCCAACGTCATCACCATCATCGCACCAGCAACGCATAAAAATGACGAACAACTCCCAACAACCATACATAGCTATGATACCAGGAAAAACAAAGAAACAAACAAACACGCAATACTACCAGTACGAATATTCGATAACAGTAGTGCAGGGAATAACCAGAATAAGGGGTCTTCCACTGATTGGAAAGGTCTTCCGAGCAGAGACAATTAAAGCCCCAAACCCTACTATAGGGGCCTTGAAAATTAGAATAAAGTTTCCGGGTATGTTGTAATATACCTATAATAAGGAACCCCCAAAATAGTATTGGTAATTATTTACGCCCCTATATTAGACCCTGAACCCGAGACCCCTCAAGCCCTAAATCCTAAACCCTAAACCTCTAAAACCCTAAACCCTAAACCCTAAACCTCTAAAACCCGAAACCCTAAACCCTAAACCCTAAACCCCTAAACCCTAAACCCTAAACCCCTAAACCCTAAACCCTAAACCTCTAAAAACCCTAATTAAAAACAGACCGAGGCCCCTAAAAGTTCTGAAGCCCGGACATCTCCAGGCCCTGCTGTTGGGACCCGAGATTCTTTTGTGTTTAGGGTTTAGGGTTTAGGGTTTAGGGTTTAGGGTTTAGGGTTTAGGGTTTAGGGTTTAGGGTTTGGGGTTTGGGGTTTAGGGTTTAGGGTTTGGGGTTTTGTGTTTAGGGTTTGGGGTTTAGGGATTGGGGTTTAGGGTTTGGGGTTTAGGGTTTTGGTTTAGGGTTTAGTGTTTAAGGTTTGGGATTTAGACTCAGACTTTAGAGCTTTACTTACCAGGTCCCATCATCCTCCAAGTCAGGCCTGCGTTACAGCTCTGCACGGGCTGGGACCTTCGACCCAGAAGCCTGGACTGGATCCTTTGACCCTAAGCCCTAACCGGTGTCTAGGATTGAGGGACCCCAGCTAGGAGCGTATGGCTTACGGCTTGTATGGGCCTGAAAACCCTAAACCCTAAATCCCGCAACCCCTCAACCCTAAAACCCCTAAACCCCAAAAAGCCCTGAACCCTCAATAACCCTAAGCTCTGAAACCCTAAACCCTAAACCCTAAACCGGCCTATGATCCCGGCACCCTGCACCACCATGGACTTGGGAATGAAGTCGATCTGGCCTCGGCATTGAGGGGCTCTCTTATTGGAGGCCTCAGAAGGTGGGGGGGTTTAGAGTTTAGGGTTTAGGGTTTAGGGTTCAGGGTTTAGGGTTTAGGTAGATAGGATTAAAGATCCCTTCTATAAGGACTCTGAATTTGGGATTACCCCTAAACCCTAAACCCTAAACCCCCATCCCAGCCTTCGAGCCCTTTGAATTCCGAGGAACTCGGACTCGAATTTTGGCATTACCCCACTTACCTTCATCACACCCTTGGAGCCCTTTGAAACTGTAGGGACCTGGGCAGGTGGGATTGATGGTTTAGGGTTTAGGGTTCAGGGTTCAGGGTTCAGGGTTTAGGGTTTAGGGTTTAGGGTTTAGGGTTTAGGGTTTAGGGTTTAGGGTTTAGGGTTTGTGGATTGGGGCTGATGAGTTGGCGCAGACTTTCCGGGCTCAGAGTTTCGGGTCGAAGTTTGAGGTTGGAGCGCTCATGGGCAGTTAGCTAAACTAGGGTCCCTTTTAGGGCCTTTTTTTTATCATGGTGCCGTACCATATTGGGGACTTAACGCGGGACCCTAATTTAGAGAACTACCCTCATGCGGGGACCGTGATGCGAACATCACGACCCTTCCTCCTTTGTCTACCATCCTGGTTCTGTCTTCGGGCTTGACGAGTTTGGAGTTTAGGGCTTCGGGCTCAAAGGGTGCCAGAGAGTGGTTTCAAGGACACGCGCCCTCAGCCGTTTCGATTCAGGGTGTAAGTTTCGGGTTTAGGAACGTGTGCAAAACCTGTTTAACATAAAAAACCTCCTAAACCCTAAACCCTAAACGCTAAACCCTAAACCCTAAACTTAAACCCTATAGGAACGCTTAGCGTGTGGGGCTCCGGACTTCGGGCTTCAGGGTATTAAGCTCGCCAGGCGGCTGATGGTGTCTGAGTCGTAGACGCCGGGGAGATCGAAAGGAATCCTAAGGTTCTGTAAGGGGTTAGTAGAGGGTTTAGGGTTTTGGGCTTGAGGCGTTTAGGTCTTGCTAAGGGTTTAGGGCCAAGTTGTGTTCATAAGACTTCGGAGGTTATCCGAAGGATGTTTCAGTGTTTGGGTTTAGGGTTTAGCATCCAGGGTTGAGGTGGCAGGCCACTTTACGGATTAGAGCTCAGGGGGCCCCAAGAACAAGGATGGGGCGGTATAGGGTGTCATACGGTTGATGATATAAATCCTGCATTACCCACAAAAAAGGAAGAAACCATACTTCCCATACTTCAGGGTCCTTAAACCCTGAACCCCAAACTCCTAAACCCTAAACCCTAAACTCTAAACCCCTAAGCACTAAACCCTAAACCCTAAACCCTAGGATTTAAGGCAGGACATATATCATCAACCCTAAACCCTAAACCCTAAACCCTAAACCCTAGGATTTAAGGCAGTGCAGGATATATATCATCAACCCTAAACCCTAAACCCTAAACCCTCCCAAGGGCTCTTGTCACGAGCCCAGCGAGCCTCACGCCTTGAGCATTCCTTCAACTAGGGTCTAGGGTTTAGGGTTTAGGGCTTTGGGTTTAGGATTTAGGGTTTAGGGTTTAGGGCTTTGGGTTTTGGGTGCAGGGTTTAGGGTTTAGGGTTTTGGGTGCAGGGTTCAGGGTTTAGGGTTCGGGTTTAGGGTTTAGGGTTTAGGGTTTAGGATTAGGGGGGCCCTTGGGGATATAGACCCTCTCAACCAGAAGTAGCGTTAAGAAGGGTCCCCTGTAAGGGGTCTCCCTACTACTACCTAGGATCAAAGCACAGGATTTGTTGAGTGCGCTGGCAATAGCGTTTAACGCAGACCCATTTGACGTAAACGCTCCAATCTAACAGGAATCCTGACGGACTGTTAATGTGCGGAAAGCCCTGAACCGTTCAAACATCGGCCCTTAACAGACTCAAAGAAACCCTGAACCCACCCACCAAAGACCCTACCTGCACCCTAAGAACCCGGCCCCGTGTGGATTCCATGCAGTTGTCCCTGAAAAAAAAAAGGACTATTGGTGACTAGGGTATCCTGATGCCCTAAACCCTACACAGCCATAAACCCCACACCCTAAACCCTACAACCTGAACCGTCACCCTTTAAGCGAGGGTCATCGGGAGGCGATTGGCCTTAGATCCCGTTGCCACGACGAAGGCAAAGGATTCGAAGGTCTTGACCCCGCCGCCCGGCTCTGCGATGGAGACCCTGAAAGTTCTTTAGGGACTCCTTTAAGGGTTCCTTTAAGGGTTCCTTTAAGGGTTCCTTTAAATTTAAGGGTTCCTTTAAGGGTTCCTTTAAGGGTTCCTTTAAGGGTTCTATAAAGGTTCTATAAGGGTTCCATAAGGGTTCTACAAGAGGGTTTAAAGGCTTAATCTGATGGGACTAGGAGCTGGTTGGACTTGCAACCTTTCTGTTCTCACAGCCCTTGGGGTTTAGGGTTTAGGAGGCGGGTCGTAAGTCTAGGGTTCGTGGATACTCGGCACGTTCCGTGTACAGCGGCACTTACAGCGTAGCTTGACTAAACCCAAAACCCTAAACCCCTACAAGTAGTAGTTCCTCTCTTTCCGGGACTCTGACTGTGAGGGGAATTGGCCCAACTCGGGATGTGTTTTTCAGGCTGCCAGTTGCCGGCCATCAGCTCTGATAGTTCTTTTCAAGGTCAACTACAATGGGAGACTATAGGCACAAGCCAAAGCACTAGGTTACGGTTTAGGGTTTAGGGTTTAGGGTTTAGTCCGACAAGCAGCATCGGACTTCGCATTGGAGCCTTGAGAGATGCGAGGACTGGCGTTCACAGCGCAGAGCACTCTTCCAGCGTCTTCGGGCCGCGATCGCTTGTGGAAAGAACCCGCCGGAAACGAAACCTTTCAAAGAAAAGCTACTCAATCGTCTAAATCCCGAACCAACCGAAAACTCCGTAGAAACTCCAGGAATGTATTTAGACAACCCTAAACCCGAAACCCTAAGATATATTCATAAATTCTGACTTTAACCCAAGATCTCAGGTCGTGCCAACATTTAAGGTTGCAGATTTAGGAGTTAGGGTTTAGGGTTTAGGGTTTGGGATTTACAGTTTAGGGTTTGGGGTTTCGGGTCTAGGGCTTAGGGCTTAGGGTTTAGAGTCTAGGATTGAGGGTTTAGGGCTCAGGGCTCAGAATCAGCATTTGTGCAGGATTTGGGGTCTATGGTTCAGGGCTCCCCTAAACCCTAAACCCTAAACCCCAAACCCTCAACCCTAAACCCTAAACCCTAAACCCCAAACCCTAAACGCCGCTAAACCCTAAACGCTCCCAAACCCTAAACCCTAAACCCCAAACCCTACACCATAAACCCTAAACCCTGTTCGTGGTACAGCTTGAGGCTTCGAGTCTCGGGACTTGGGTTCAGGGCGGGGGGCCCTAAACCCTAAACCCTAAACCCCTAAACCCCTAAACCCTAAACCCTAGACCCTGACTAAGGGTCCTTCTTTTCACACCTCCGGCGCCAAGGTGGTACTAAACCCACGGTTTAGGGTTTAGTACAGCCGAGGAACGTCTTCGTGTCCACGAAGGACGCTGCCCCCACGAGCACATCGATGTGGAACCTCGAGTCTCATGGGCCGGGAGGTTTTAGGGTTTAGGGTTTAGGGTTTAGGGTTCAGGGTTTAGGGTTTAGGGTTTAGGGTTTAGGGTTTAGGGTTTAGGGTTTAGGGTTTAGGGTTTTGGGTTTTTGGGTTTTAGGGCCTGGTGGAGGGGTGGAGCTGTGACGCTGGATTCGATAGGTTTGGATTTCGGCTTCGATTTTCAACAATGATTATCTTGTGACGGTTCCATACATGTTCTGTGGTTCTAGGGTGTTTGAGTCTGGCGTCGCGGCCCTAAACCCTAAACCCTA